CTGCCCGGCCTCAGCTCCCGCCTCCAACTCGCCCCGCGCGCGCCCGGTCGCCTCCAGCAACGCCCCGCCCACGCCAGGCCCCCCACACCTCAAAACAGCTTCCCGGCTTCGCGGCGCGCCGGAAGTACGTCATCTCCCGAGGCAAGATGGGCGCATCTTGACACCGAAAGAGAGCCCGTGGATCTGGAATTCTCAACCGGTGAAGTGTCATATGCTCTATAACTGTGATATTCCGCTCTTCTCCAAAATTTAAAGAAAAAGTCACAGAGAACGTACCTGGGCCATGGGATGCGTCGGAAGGGCACAGACTTACAAGCACACAGGCGCCGATTCCAGTCCAGAGCCACTTGTTTGTACGACCTCAGGTGAAATGAATACAATAACCTCCTTCAGGTAGGGTGATGATATACGTATATCCTAGCTCCATAAATGTTATCGTTATTATTACTGGCCCGAAAGGACCTCGTGAGACACCTCATTCTATCAAGTCCGATCCTTCCTCTTGGTTTGTGTGTTGCAGTGTTGTTGCGGGCAGGTCGTGCACAAGAATACCAAAGATTCTTACGTATTCTGTTCTAATGCATCCGTCCGAGTAAGCCATCAGCCTTACACTGAGAGCAGAACATTCCCCCAAACAGTATTTCAGGAAAATCTTCCCTAGACTTCACTTAAATATAGCGAAGAAGTTTTGTTAAACAGACCCAATGCATTTATGGCTAGCTGTCATTTTTTTGAATTATACCCTTTTATTGAGCCGAAGACTTCCTGCCTGTTTCTACCATGCTCTGATTCTGGTTCTGCGTTCCATGCCTATACAAAAATTGTCTAATTCCACATGTTTAAAGTACCAAGATGAACCTGTCGTCTTTCCTGATTATCCTCTCAATACATGCCAGTTTGTGAAAATCCCAGCTAAAAGGCAGTGCCAAAAGTATAACAAAATATAACAAAAACGTAAATAATAGTTGATGATGGTACTGTGAGGTCTGGTCCCTTGATCTGGAGACTCATAAAAGTAATTTTTAAGAGATTAATTGTTTGTTGCATTATGTTGACACTTATGCCATAGGAATTAAACGACCTTCATCCTTACCGTCTAATTAATTATGTGCTAATTGAGGTTAAAGACATGGGATTCCACATAATTTAATTCAACCTCCTAGGCTCTAGGAGAGTAATGGCACTCACTGAAAGATGCCTTACCTTGTTTCATCCGGGGGTGGTTTAAATTCATATTATTAATGAAATAGAAAGAGTCTTCCCCTGGTGAGGAAGAGTCTTTCCCTTGGTGAGAAATAACTTTGTGTTAAAAAATAACAAACTTAAAATGTTTTCTTTTCTGTTGCCAGATTTCCTTAAGTTTTTATAAATTCTTCAAAAAGAGAATAATAAGCAGTGTTTCCCAAACTTGAACACAACACTTTTTATTCTTGAAACACTGATTAATATCTTGCAGGATGTGTAGGACACAGTTTGAAAAGTGCTGCCTTTTTATATTTATTGATTTTGAAAGATATGCATGAAACACCATAGAAAGATAAGCATTTAATACTGTAGCATTAAAAAGACTATAAAACAATATATTTTGATCTTTTTAAAAACATTAATAGAAAAAAGAATGAAAGTATTTCTATTAACAATGGTTAGCTGTAGAGTTAGGTTTCTGATTTTTTGCTATGAATATGTCATAGTGTACTTTTATAATTAGTGAAAGAAAGTAAAATTTCCAATTTATAAAATGTTTAAAAAATGAATTATATACTTTTTATTTGTTTCTTCTTGTTACATGGCAAATTACCACAAATTTAGTGGCTTAAATAAACACAAATGTATTTATTGCCTCAGAGTCCATGGGTCAGGAGTCTGGCATGTTTTAGTTGCATGCTCTGCCTAGGGTCTCATGAGGCTGAAATCAAGGTGTCTGCTGACTGCATGCTCTTCTGGAGAGTCAGCTAAGTAAAGATCTACTTCCAAGCTCCCTCAAGTGATTGCCAGAATCCATTGTGGTCTTATGACTAAGGGCTGCACATTCTTGTTACTGCTCTCAGTTCCTAGAGGCCACTCATGGGTCCTTGCTATATGATGATCTCCACAATATGACCGTTTGCTCCTGCAAGCATCCTTCTGACACTTCACCTTCTTTTAAAGGACTCGCCTGATTAGGTCAGGCCCACCCAGGATAATCTCTCTTTTGATTAACTCAAAGTCAATTTATTAGAAACCTAATCATGGAAGTGATGTTCCATCATATTCCCTGGTCCTATTGCACTCAAGTGGAGGGGATTTACAGGGTATTTACACTAGGGTTATTTTTTGTATATACTGTATATATGTGTGTACTATACGGATTTGTGTAATCTCAGTAAAATTACTTAACCTCCTAATCCTCATTTCCCTCAGTTATGTATTTGGAATATTAATATCTAGCTTATTAGGATTGTTGTGATTATTAATTACATTAAGCATATTATGTAATTATATATACATAGTTATTAAATATTTACTTTAGTATCTTTATAAAGTTACTAAATGGTGACTTTCTGTATGGATATATATGCAGTGAATTATAAGCAACATACAGTGGTTCTGAAGTTAATTTCTAGTCCCCTCTAATAAAATGGATTTATTCCAGTCCATAAAGGACACTGACCCCTACTCTGCTATCTCCAGTTGGAATGGCTGTACTGGTCCTGCTGGGGTTCTCTTTCCACATCAACCCCATTCACTGTTGTCTGCTGATCCTTCTCTCTATCCCACACACCTGGTCACGGCCTTGTTGAGTTTGTATTCCAGTTGAACTCTCATCCTCTTTATTTGCAATTGCAGAAAGTCCTCATTGATCTGCAAAGACTTCATCAACTATATTTGTATAGTCCTCTCTATCAGTGTTTCTAATTTTCATCTTGATAGAAGTATTCAGAGTTAGAAACTAAGGTTTTCTTTGCTTCAGTGAATTTTCTATAGTTCCCTATCTATAAAATGTTGTGTTGTTTGAACTTTTTAATCATTCTAAGTATCAGTTTCTCATCTATAAAATGGAGAAAGTATCTATCTTATAAGGCTATTGTCATGGTTATGTGAGATAATTAATGTAACACTCTTAGCAGAGTATGCCCTCAGTGTGTTTTGTATTATTTTTCCTTTCTTCCTGGATATTCTCTCTTCCCACACAGTGACTGTGGGAAGGGTTGAGTAGCATTTGAAAATCTCTCTTTCTCTTTCTCTCTCATTCTCTCTCTCTCTCACCCGCAAAGCCCCTACATATACTTTACAGAAGTCTTTGCACTTGTTACTTCTTTTAATGTGCTATTACACTTCCTCCCTTGCTGAAATAGTCTTGAGTTTTGCTATTTGTTTCATTGCTTATGTATAAGTGGACTACATTTGCTCACATGCTTGAATTTAAGCCAAAACAAGAGCAAGAGGAACCCATGTCATTAAGATTAGGCTTTCTCCAGTGGCACATGGACAAATCCCAAAGTTCTAATATTGTACTATTCTTCAAACTAGTAGTTCTTAACCAAGGGTGATTTTGCTTTCCAGGAGCTATATGGCAATGTCTGGAGATCTTGTTTTTTTAATGACCTGAGAAGGGTGAAGCTCTGGGGGGTGGGGGCAGAGAGGGTGGTTCTAAGAGGCCCAGGGATGCTGCTAACCATCCTACAATGCATAGGATAGTTCCTCACAGCAAAGAATTGTCTATTCTAAAATGTTAGTACGGGCCGGCCCCGTGGCGCACTCGGGAGAGTGCGGCGCTTGGGAGCACAGTGGCGCTCCCGCTGCGGGTTTGGATCCTATATAGGGATGGCCAGTGTCCTCACTGGCTGAGCGTGGTGCGAGAGACACCAAGCCAAGGGTTGCGATCCCCTTACCGGTCACAAAAAAATAAAATAAAATAAAATAAAATGTTAGTAGTACTGAGGCTGAGAAATACTGCTTTACACAAAGGAATTTGTATGGTGTAAGGCAGTCAGTATATTGTTTTAGAAATAAATTAAAATATATGCATTGTCTCATAAATCGTGGTATGTTTATACAATGGAATACCATACAGCAATGACAATCAATGAAGTATAACTATTAGCAATAAGATGGTTGAATCTCACAAAGATAATATTGAACAAGAGAAGTTAGACACAGAAGAATATAGACAATATGATTCATTTTCCATGACAATCAAAAACAGGAAGAATTAATTTGTGGTGTTTGAAGTCAGGATAATCACTATCCTAAAGGTCTGTACAGGGCCAATAATGTTTTGTTTCTGGATCTGGGTGCTTCTTACACAGATGTATGCACTTGGTGAAAATTCATCTGGTATATACTTAAGATTTGTATACTTTTCTGAATGAATGTTTTATTGCAACAAATAGTTTTCAAAACAAAAAGGAAAATATATGCCATGCTGTTTGATTATCATGTTTATGTCACTTATGAGCAAGAGTATCATTTTCTGATTCCTGGGTCCATAGAATAGAAATTTTTGTAGACTATTTTCTTTCCTTTTTTTCCCTCCAGGTGTCAACTATACCTATTTTTGCTTCGAATAGGTGTAATTGAGGTTTTTTTGAAGTTTTCAGGATGATACTCTTTGACCATTGCTTGGAAGTAGTAAAGATATACTGTTTTGGACAGTTCACATATCTAAAAGAGCTTGCTCTGTGTTTTCCAGACACAGAGAACAAAAATTCTGCCTCTGCTCATCCCTGTAGTTTCCCTCTCAATTCTACGCATCTATCTTGTCAAACCTGAGAAATCATCATACAGAAATCTCAATACCCCACAAAAAATTGACATCTAATTTTTTTTTTGGGGGGGGGGTTATTTTTGTTTTTTTGTGGGGTTTTTTTGATGGCTTCTTTCATATTCATATTGTTTTGCAGGTTAATTTGAGTCATTGGATTGGAAAAACAAAAGCCTTTTTAAACACAAAATATTGATGACTCAGATAGGAACACGCAGTATTATTGGTCAAAATTTGGCCTGTTGTGCTGTTTTGGTTTTTTTTTGTTTTTTAGGGTCATTATGGAACCTCAAGTTTTGTCTTCTTTTTTTCTTTTGTCCATTGATGAAACTGTAATTTGCCCGGATAGGAACACGCAGTATTATTGGTCAAAATTTGGCCTGTTGTGCTGTTTTGGTTTTTTTTTTGTTTTTTAGGGTCATTATGGAACCTCAAGTTTTGTCTTCTTTTTTTCTTTTGTCCATTGATGAAACTGTAATTTGCCATCTTCCACACAGTACATTGGATAGCCTTTTTCCTAAAATTGAGCTCTATTTCAAAAGGCTTTCCATTTATAGACAGCTTGAACCTAGCTGGATGGACATGACTACCGTAACAGCTGTCAGACAACAGTGTATGGTGAGTGACTACTGTGCATTGGGGGCCCAAC